AATCCCGTTCCTCCCTGCCCCACCAACGCTCAAATCTCTCCTCAATTCTTTATTGGAAATCATTGTTCTCTTGCATTGCATTAAGTGCATGTTTGTAGTGGTGGGGAGTGTTTATGAAGTACAAAAGCTCTACTGCACCAAGCATTCTTACTTCTCAAATTACCTTCTATTTTTTGAAAATTCCGGAAGCAAAAAATGGAAGCTTTTGTGCATGCTTCTGGCTTTTAATTAACGAAAATTATCCATTATATATATTTTATCCTCGTATTTTAATAAAATTACGATTAAATCACTATATATACCGTTAAAAACCGAATTTCGCGTCTCCCCCTACCTCCGATTCCTCCTTTCCACCTCTGCCTCCCGATTGCATCTTCCCCAGATCCCGATCTTGACTTTTCTGGTGTCTTCATTTGTCGATTGCTCCTCTCTACCCATCTTCTCCATCTGTCGATTGTTCCATCTTTTTTCCCTTTTTCTGATTTTGCATCTCCCTCTGCCGATTGCTCTCTCTACCCATCTTCCATCTGCTGCACCTTTTTCTTCACTTTTCCAGCATCCTCATCCTTCTCATCCCCGGTAGTTACAGCTCTCTTCACTCTCTCCTGACCCGACGATTCCCCACCATTTCTCCTCCTCCCGGACGACTCCAACCCCAGCGCCTTCTTCACCTTACTGGCCGCCGTTGAGGTCAACGACCGCTGCAGAGAAGCCGAGGAACCCGCCGGCGCAGGCGAAGCAGACGTTTCCCCGTTCCTCTCGGACTGCGGTATATAAGTCAACGGCTTTTCACTAGAACTCCGGCACGCCCCGACCAGGATCTCATTGGCCGTCTCTCAGAGCTCCGAGTGCGACAGACTCCGTGCGGCGTCGGAAAAAGGAGAAGGGATGGCTTCAACTAGGTAATTGGGCATCGGCGGTTCCGAGTGGTGAGACTGCTGACCGTGCCGCTTGGATTCGCTGGTGGGTTTGTCCCTGAATTGACTTGACATGGCTACGGTGGAGTGAGGGTTAAACTTGAAGCCAAAAAAGTTAAATAAAGTGAAAGAATTTAGGCAGAAGGGATGAGGGAAATGGTGGGATTTTGGGAGTTAGTAAGATTCTTGCTTCAGTTGAAAGGAAAACATGATGATTCTTCTTCAGGGTGCGGCCATGGAAAAGGCAGAGAGAGACCTTTGAGAAGAAAGGAAGGTGCTTTGACAGCGGAAGGAATTAAATAGTAATTAAAAAAAAACATGTTTTTTTAGAGTACTTTTATTACTACATTACCATTAAGATTTTAATTGTATATATAAATATATATTATATGACGATATATTTAGATTTTTTTAAATAAAAATAATTATAAAATTCTTAATAAATGATATAGATTTCTTGATAATTAATTTTTTTAAAAGAAAAAAAATTAATGCTTTTTAAAAAATATATATATTCTTTTCATTTTAATGAAAAGTCAATAAACATTATTGTTATTATCAATTTTTATTTTTATTTTCACTTATTAATAAAACTTAAAAATAGTATGTTTTATTTTTTAATATTAAAATATAAATATTTATTTATTAATATTAAAATTATTAATTACTAAATGTTATATTTTAATTTATAAATATAGAAATTTTATTTCTAATCATTAGCTTTAACATAATTAAATTTTTAAAAAATAAAACTCTATAAAAATGTCAAAAAAAAAAAAGAGAGAGAGAAACAATGTTTAAAAAAATTTTCTTTTCAATCATTTTAAAATTAAAAAAAAAATTTATAAAAATTTTATCAAATAATTTTTCACTTTGCAAGTAATTTTATAAAAAATTTTACAAATACTTACAATTTCTAAAAACAATACTTCTATAACATATTCTTTCTAATAAGATTTTTATTAAAAGTTCAATCTCACCAAACAGCTCAATGCTAGAACAGAGTTTCATTGTCTGTTGGCACAATGGCACTTAACGGAAAGCTAGGAATAAGAGATACGTTGAGCAATCATTGGTTGATCTCCAACAGGTACTTAATTGAATTAATTTGATGATCCGGTAACATTGTAATGCCCCATGTGTCGATTTATTGGTTCCCACTACTTGTCTAGTGTGAAGATGGTCACAGCACTGGTTTATCTGTTCTCATGCCTCCTCTGGTTTTCTAAAGGTTAATGTAGATGCTTCCTTTTAACTTGCCAGTGGAGTATCTGCTTCGGCCATGGTGGGGTGAAACTCATGCTCTGTGGGTTGGGCAAACTTGGCCTATGTGAGCTTTGTCTCCATTATGGTTGATTTTTTGCTTTATTGAAGACCATTCGGATTAAGAAATTCTTTTATACAACAGGTTAGCAAGTAAAAAATATCCCTATTTAATAATGTAGTGATAACTATATTTGTAATTGAAAAGATTACTTTATTATAATACACAATCAATTTATAAAAAAAAAAAAAAACCACACTTACCGTTACATTACTAAATGGTTAACGTAATATTCTCACAATTTTAAATCTTATAATGAATTTTATCATGAAAGTCTAATATGATATGTTATCTAGAATGACAAAACTCTTCCAACAGAGGCATAGAAATTTATGTAGCTGTTATGACATTTTATTTTCTTCTTTTTTTTGAAATTTTAATTAGAGTTTCTTTTTCAATCAAGGCTTCTTTCATTCTCTCTGAGATTGTAATGGAGACATAGAAGTACGATGGCAAGGACTCTGGAGTCTGGACTTTAAGCGGAGGGACGTCCATATTTCCAACAACATTTCAATTCAGGCTATAAATACCAGAATCTAGAAGGCCTTGGTCGTTGAAAGCAAGCCCTGCCCCTCTCTGAAACCAACTCAGCACTGCCCACATTTGAGTATCGATCTTCAAGCAATCTCAGGCAAGTTTCAATACTCAAGCACACTACTCGACTTTTCATTTCCTTGCAGACATTACAGCTACTATCCTTAGTTCCCTTCATTAAGGAAGTGATTCAACAACCTTTAGGGTCCATTTGGTTCATGGAAAATTATTTCCAAAAATCATTTTCTCCATTTTCCTGTCTTTGAGAGTCATCCTGAAAACTAGTCAATGGAAAATACCATTGCATTTTTTAGAAATCAACTTTCAAATTTTTTTTCGAGAAGTTGTTTCCTTTGAAAACACATGGATCTAAGGATCTGAAATTATCAAATCAAGCAGGTTTCAGTACTGATTTTCAATCAAGAAGTTCAAAACCATGGTGCCTCCGTTGGGTATGATTGGAATGACTTTTGATTGAATGCTTTCACAAATTTTGTTGGCATTGTGGTGGTGGCTGGTGCCAAGACTGTTGTATGAAAATTAAACATGTAGGTTTCAATATAATATTTACATTTAATTTAAAATCAATTAGCATTAGATGAAGTAGTTCTTTTTATATTTAAACTATATGCATTTTTGTTATATTCTTAATGTAAAATTTTTTCACTTAACACATCGTCTTGTCAGGTTGTTAAATTCAAAAATTTTATATTGAATATATAACAAAAAAATATGTTAAGTTAAATATAAGAACTATTTCATCTATTATCAATTGAATTTAAATTAGATGCAAATCTTGTATTGAAACTCACATGTTTAATTTTCATATATTACCTCCTCATTTGCATATCTAAAACAAAGCTTAACTATTTCTTATCAAAGAAAAACTCTCGTAATATAGCAATATTCCACTGCTTTAGAATCATATCAACCATATTCTAAGGCGTCTAGAGCTTCTGTGCCTTTAAGGAGGACAGCCACCATGAGGTCCTTGATCTCCAAGGTCTTTCGAAGAAGAAGACAAATACACTTCTCCAATTTAAGCTTATGAAGAAGCCAAACACGTGTAGGCAATATCCTAGAAGAAGTCCTCAAATATTTATTCCTTTTTACATAAATCCTAATAGTTTTCTTCACATTTAAAATGATTCCTATGATGGATTCTTTTTTGGCGAAAATATGAAGATTTCCAATGTCAACTAAACAACAGAAAATGTTTTCGTAAAATTCTGTGTTAGAGTCTTCCAAACAAAAGAAAATAACTTATGGAAAAGAAAATATTTTTCTTTGAAATTTTTTTTCAAAGAATGTTTTTTCTTTTTGTGAACCACACAAACAATTTGTTGATTTTTCTTTTTGTTTTTCGGAGAGTTTCAAAAAAAAAAAAAAGATTTGTGGTTCCCAAGTCCAACCGGTTACTCTTCCATCACATTAAAAGTAGGGTGACGTGGCCAAATGGATGGGCAAGTGTTAGTTGGCAAGTG